GCCTGCCTCGCCTTCCCAAAGTGCTGGGATTACCAGCGTGAGCCACCACACCTGGCCTATTGGCCTATTCTATTTGCATCACTGCTTCTCTCTGTCACTGACCACTCCACCATCTCCCCCTTCCCCTGATCCCATCCTGCTTCCCATCTCCCTGTGGCACCCTCTTAGCTGGTGTGGGGGGCAGGACTCCCCAGCCCAGGTTCCCTGGCTCCATCCAATGCCTGGCCTGGCCGGGGTGACCTTTGCAGTGACAGGCTCCTTGTCAGAGCTCCAGATTAGCTATGTCTGCCGGGAAGTGCTCCAGGTGAGGAGAGGCCTGGGGATTCTTGGCTGGGGGTGGGCCCCACTCCAGCCCCCAGACACTCACAGCGCCCTTGTCCAACCTTATCCCAGGGACTGGCCTATCTGCATTCACAGAAGAAGATACACCGGGACATCAAGGTGGTCTGGGGGTACAGGGGTGCTGTTTGGGGTGGGGCCCAGGAGATGGGAGTGGCATTTGGGGGGCTCAGGGATCAGGGTAGTTTGAGCTGTGGGGTGGGTTGGGGTAGCACTGGGCTGGGGAAAGAGTCTCTGCAACCTCCCATATCCCCTCTCATTCCCAGGGAGCTAACATCCTCATCAATGATGCTGGGGAGGTCAGATTGGGTGAGTAAGGCTGGGGGTTAGGCAGGGGGGCTGACTGTGGGGCCGGAGGCACGGTGGACCCCAGATCACTGTGTCTCCCTCTGCTTCCAGCTGACTTTGGCATCTCGGCCCAGATCGGGGCAACACTGGCCAGACGCCTCTCTTTCATTGGGACACCCTACTGGTGAGGGGCGCCCAGCGGGCAGCTAGGGGTGGAGTGCGGACCAGTGGCTTTTCCCACCTGGTTCCCTGGGAACCTCCTTCCTAGCTCCATGCCCCTGTCTCTTCCTTTCTCCACTGGAGATTCTTTCGTTCTCTCTGGGTCTCTCTTGAGTTTTCCATTTCTCTCTCTTTGTGCCTCATTCTGCCTGTTCCTCTCGGTGACTGTGTTGATTTTTATGTTGATTTCTCTGTCCCTCCATACCCATTTTGGTCTTTTTCCTCTAGCTTAGTTTGTAGCACTCTCTGTCTCTTCACTCTGTCTCTCACACTCTTTGTCTCTGCCTTGCTACCTTTTTGTTCATTTGTTTGTTTTTAGATTCAGGGTCTTACTCTGTGGTCCAGGCTGGATCGCAGAGGCAAAATCAAGGCTCACTGTAGCCTAGAACTCTTGGGTTCAGGAGATCCTCCCACGTTAGCCTCCCAAGTAGCTGGGACCACAGGTGTGCAGCATGACAACTGGCTAATTTTCAAAAATTGTGTAGACATGGGCTTTTTTTTTTTTCCTTCACATGGAGTTTTGCCCTGTCACCCAGGCTAGAGTGCAGTGGCATGATCTCAGCTCACTGCAACTTCAGCCTCCCAGGTTCAAGCAATTCTCTGGCCTCAGCCTCCTGAGTAGCTGGGATTATAGACACATGCCACCATGCCTGGCTAATTTTTGTATTTTTAGTAGAGACAGCGTTTCACCACTGTCTTGAGCAGGCTGGTCTTGAACTTCTGACATCAGGTGATCTGCTCACCTCAGCCTCCCAAAATGCTGCAATTACAGGCATGAGCCACTGTGCCCAGCTGAGATGGGGTCTTGATAAGTTGCCCAGGCTGGTCTCAAACTTCTTGGCCTAAGCCATCCTCCTTGTTCAGCCTCCCAAAGTGCTGGGATTACAGGTGAGAGCCACTGCACCCGGCCTGCATCTTTGTCTTCGTCTGCCTCTGTCTTTACTCCTATCCCTCTGTCTCTCCGTCTGACTCTCTGTGTGCTGCGTCTCCCCTCACCTCCTCCTCCTTCTCTGCCCCTCCTCCCTTTCCTGTCCCCATGCTACCTCTGGCGCTCTGAGCATGTCCGCCCCCAGGATGGCTCCAGAAGTGGCAGCCGTGGCCCTGAAGGGAGGATACAACGAGCTATGTGACATCTGGTCCCTGGGCATCACAGCCATCGAGCTGGCGGAGCTACAGCCACCGCTCTTTGACGTGCACCCTCTCAGGTAGGCAGGCATGGGGTCCCCAGGCCCAGAGATCCTGCCCAGCCCTGGCCTGAAGCCACCTCAGCTTCTGCCTTCTACAGCAGGAACGCCCAATTCAGGGACTGCCACTTGAGCCTACCTTAGCATGTGCCTCAGCTCTATTTTTAAAATTTAATTTAATTCGGCCGGGCGCGGTGGCTCACGCCTGTAATCCCAGCACTTTGGGAAGCCGAGGTAGGTGGATCATGAGGTCAAGAGATCGAGATCATCCTGGCCAACATGGTGAAACCCCATCTCTTTTTTTTTTTTTTTTTTTTGAGACGGAGTCTCGCTCTTGTTACCCAGGCTGGAGTGCAATGGCGCGATCTCGGCTCACCGCAACCTCCGCCTCCTGGGTTCAGGCAATTCTCCTGCCTCAGCCTCCTGAGTAGCTGGGATTACAGGCACGCACCACCATGCCCAGCTAATTTTTTGTATTTTTAGTAGAGACGGGGTTTCACCATGTTGACCAGGATGGTCTCGATCTCTTGACCTCGTGATCCACCCGCCTTGGCCTCCCAAAGTGCTGGGATTACAGGCTTGAGCCACCGCGCCCGGCCCAGAAACCCCATCTCTTAAAAAATAAAAATAAATAAATAAATAAAATTTAATTTAATTCAATTTATTTATTTATTTTTTTAAGATGAGGTTTCACCATAATGGCCAGGCTGGTCTTGAACTCCTGACCTCAGGTGATCCTCCCACCTTGGCCTCCCAAAGTGCTAGGATTACAGGTGTGAGCCACTGCACCCAGCAATTTATTTTTTTGTTATTTTATTTTATTATTTTATTTTTTTGAGATGGAGTCTTGCTCTGTTACCCAGGCTGGAGTGCAATGGCAGATTTTGGCTCACTGCAACCTCCGACTACTGGGTTCAAGCAATTCTCCTGCCTCAACCTCCTGAGTGGCTGGGACTACAGGTTCATGCTACCATGCCCAGCTAATTTTTGTATTTTAGTAGAGAGGGGGTTTCACTATGTTGGCCAGGATAGTCTTTATCTCTTGACCTCGTGATCCGTCCGCCCTGGCCTCTCAAAGTGCTGGGATTACAGGTGTGAGCCACCGCAGCCGGCCAACTATTATTATTTTTAGAGACAGGATCTCACTCAGTCACCCAGTCTGGAGTGCAGCGCCATGATCGTCCGTCACTTCAGCTTTGGATGCTGGGGTTCAAGTGATCCTCCTGCCTTAGCCTCCCACATAGCTGGTCCTACAGGCGAGCATTGCCACACCCAGCTATTAAAAAATATTTTTTTGTGGAGACGAGGGCCTCATTATGTTGCCCCGGCTGGTCTCCAACTTCTGGGCTGAAGCTATCTTCCCACCTTGGCCTCCCAAAGTGCTGGGATTATGGGCTTGAGCCACTGCACCTGGCCTTGCTGTAGCTCCATCCGCTGTAAATGGCTTCCCTTAGGAGAGGCACCCTGGTGCGCCACAAAACCCGAAACTCACTTCCATTCTGTTTCTCACTTTGCCCTCTGTGGACCTCAGTGCTGATAGGAACCCCTCAAGCCATGAGGTCTGGCCCCCTTGAGGGTCTGAACCCCATGTTCTTTCCCTACCATTCTAGAGTTCTCTTCCTCATGACCAAGAGTGGCTACCAGCCTCCCCGACTGAAGGAAAAAGGCAAATGGTATGAGAGGGTGACAGGAGGGAGGGGGAGCGAGGGCAGGGCTGGGGCTGGGTGGCCTGATGGGAGGGTCTCTGGTCCCCTCACCCAGTACCTGGCTTTTTCTTCCCAAGGTCGGCTGCGTTCCACAACTTCATCAAAGTCACCCTGACTAAAAGCCCCAAGAAACGACCCGGCGCCACCAAGATGCTCAGTGTAACCCTCCCTTCCCCAGGAAGCCCCCCAGACCACCAGCCCAGGATTCCCCGGGGCCTTCCACAGCTCCCGAGATGGACTCCTGCTCTTGTTGCCCAGGCTGGAGTGCAGTGGCACGATCTTGGCTCACTGCAACCTCCGCCTCCCGGGTTCAAGCGATTCATGTACCTCGTATCTGAGGACATGGATAACTGTGTTCCACGGAGCTCCCGAGGCCTTTCCAAAGTCCCTAGTGCCTCAGAACTTCCCAGGACGAGCCCCCACCACCAGAGACACTCCGGGTTGTACTCCAGACCTTTCCCAGGTCCCCTGAGTTGCTGAAACTCACAAATTCCCAAGGGATTCAAGACTTGTTCCTGGGTGTCCTCTTGAATCCCTGGGGAACCACTGTCTCTTCCAAGACAACTCTGGAATTCTCCCAGTCCCACTCTGAGAACCCTAAATTCTTCTAATTCCTTGAAACTTCTTAGAATCCCCCAGGCCGGCTGGGCACGGTGGCTCATCCCTGTAATCCCAGCACTTTGGGAGGCTGAGGCAGGTGGATCACTTGAGGTCAGAAGTTCAACACCAGTGTGGCCAACATGGTGAAACCCCATCTCTAGGAAAAATACAAAAATTGGCCAAGTGTAGTGGTGCATACCTGTAATCCCAGCTACTTGGGAGGCTGAGGTGGGAGAATCGCTTGAGCCCAGGAGGCGGAGGCCATAGTGAGCCAACATAGCACCACTGTACTCTAGCCTGGGTGACAGGGTGAGACCCTGTATAAAAAAAAAAAAAAAAAAATTAGCTGGACTCGGGGAGGAGAATCGCTTAAGCCCATAAGATGGAGGTTGCAGTGAGCTGAGATTGTGCCTGGGTGACAGAGCAAGACTGTCTTAAAAAAAAAAAAAAAAAGAATCCTCTCAGGCCTCCGAGTTCCCTGGATTTCCCCATCCTCTCCCTCCACTGGCTCCTTCTCCCTGCCCAGATTCCTTTAGCCCATCCCCAAGGCCCTGCACTAGCCCTCTCTGTCCACACCAGCCCTCTGGACACGGTCACCTCTTCCCTCCCCCAGCATCAACTGGTATCCCAGCCTGGGCTGAACCGAGGCCTCATCCTAGATCTTCTTGACAAACTGAAGAATCCTGGGAAAGGACCCTCCATTGGGGACATTGAGGATGAGGAGCCCGAGGTGAGAGCCTTGGCTGACAAGAGCACTGGGGACCTCTTGGTCTTTCTCAGGCTGTGCCTGCTGCCAGGGGTGGCTTCCTGCCACCTCTCTTAGGGGGAAAGCAGGGTGGGAAGATGGGGAACTTGGTATACAAGGCTGTGTGCCCAGAAGGTTACAAGAGAGCAGATGGACCCCTGGCAGGGTAGGGGGCTGCTTTGGGGTTCTGAGCCCTGACATGGCTGCCCCTCTGCCCAGCTACCCCCTGCTGTCCCCCGGCGGATCAGATCCACACACCGCTCCAGCTTTCTGGGGATCCCTGATGCAGACTGCTGTCGTGAGTAGAGAATCCTTATGTTCGGGGACACCTGACCCTATAATAGACCTAAGAGACACCCCCTTCCCTTACCATAAGACCACCAGAGACCCTCAGCATCATCTGATCCTATAACAGACCCAATCTAATCAGCATCTGACCTACAAAATTACTGTAGAGGCTGGGTGCGGTGGCTCAGGCCTGTAATCCCAGCACTTTGGGAGGCCGAGGCGGGTGGACTGTTTGAGGTCAGGAGGTTGAGACCAGCCTGGGTAACATGGTGACATCCAGTTTCTGCTAAAAATACAAAAATTAGCCAGGCTTGGTAGTACATACTTGTAGTCCCAGCTACTTGGAAGGCTGAGGTGGGAGGATCACTTGAATATGGGAGGTGGAGGCTACAGTGAGCCAAGATCACACCACTGCACTCTAGCCTGGGTGACAAGAGTGAGACCATCTCAAAAAAAAAAAAAAAAAAAATAGAAAATGACCGTAGAGTCCCCAGGGAGACCTCAGATATCTCATCAGAACCTCGATACCCAAATGGATCCTGAAAATAAACACTGTGTAATTACAGTGAGCCCCCAACTTCCTGATCCCAAATCTTTTTATTTTTTATTTTTGGAGTTATACATTTCATTTTATTAACTAGTTTCTTCTTTTTTTTTCCCCATTTATTTATTTTATTACATTTTAGGTTTTGGGGTACATGTGAAGAACATGCAAGATTGTTGCATAGGTACACACGTGGCAGTGTGATTTGCTTGTTTATTTTTTTTGTGATAAGGCCTTGCTCTGTCGTCCAGGCTGGAGTGCAGTGGCATGATCACAACTCACTGTGGCCTCAAACTTCTTGGGCCCCAGCAATCCTCCCATCTCAGTCTCCTCAGTAGGACTACAGGCTTATCCACCACACTTGGCTAATTTTTTTTTTTTGAGATGGAGTCTCACTCCGTTGCCCAGGAGTGCAATGTGCAATTGTGGCTGACCACAACCTGTCTTCTAGGTTCAAGTGATTCTCCTGCCTCAGCCACCCGAATAGCTGGGATTATAGGTGCACACCACGATGTCCAGCTAATTTTTATACTTTCTTTCTTTTTTTTTTTTTTTTTTTGAGACAGAGACTTGTTCTGTCGCCAGGCGCCAGGCTGGAGTTCAGTGGCACGATCTCAGCTCACTGCAACCTCTGCCTCCTGGGTTCAATCAATTCTCCTGCCTCAGCCTCCCAAGTAGCTGGGACTATAGGTGCGCACCACCGTGCCCAGCTAAGTTTTGTATTTTAGTAGAGATGGGGTTTCACCATGTTGGCCAGGATGGTCTCGATCTCTTGACCTTGTGATCTGCCTGCCTCGGCCTCCCAAAGTGCTGGGATTACAGGTGTGAGCCAGTGCTGGGATTACAGGTGTGAGCCACTGTGCCCAGCCTAATTTTTGTATTTTCAATAGAGACAGGGATTCACCATGTTGGCCAGGTTAGTCTTGAACTCCTGACCTCAGGTGATCTACCCACCACAGCTTCTCAAAGTGTTGGAATTACAGGTGTGAGCCACCTTGCCTGGCCACTTGGCTAATTTTTAATCATTTTTTGTAGAGATGGGGTCTCGCCATGTTGTCCAGGCTGATCTCAAACTCATGGGCTCCAGCAATCTGCCCGCCTCAGTATTCCAAAGTCCTGGGATTATAGGCGTTAGCCACTGCACCTGGTCTTCATGCCAAACTTGACCCCCAAATGAGACCCTTGTAAACCAAGACCCCTCTCTGAAAGGGACAGTTCCCTGTGATCCTTTGCAGTCCCTAAGATCCTGACTGCAAACCCCCCAATTCTACTCTTTCTGTTCTTAAAGCTGTCTCACTACCCCTTGCCCCTGGCTCACTGTGGGCTATCTCCCCCTATCCACCCTAGGGCGGCACATGGAGTTCAGGAAGCTCCGAGGAGTGGAGACCAGACCCCCAGCCGACACGGTGAGATGCTGCTCTCCACTCCCCGCCACACCCCCTGCTTCCCCGAGGCCTCTGTTGACCCTTTTCCTACTCCACAGGCTCGCCTACAGCCCACCAGAGACCCCAAGAGCAGCAGCCCCAGGTCAGGGACCCCAGGGAGGGCGGTGAGGGTCTGGGGCGTGTGCAAGGCCCCCTAGGCTCATACCTGTCACCCTTCAGGAAGCAGCTGTCTGAGTCGTCCGATGATGACTATGACGACGTGGACATGTAAGTGAGGCCCTGCCTGCAGCTCGGCAGGACCCACCTCAGCCCCCACCTTCCTATAAGCCCCCGACATGACCTTTCCTCTACCCCACTGCACCCCTGCCCATCTTCTAGCCCTGAGCCCTGAGTCCTCACCAGACTCTCAATGCAGCCCCCTAGGCTCTGTTCTCTAGCCCCACCTCCCTTAACCCTTCACCTCCTACCCCTGACGCCCAACCTGATCCCAGCTCCAGCTCCCACTACCTTCCTTCTACCTTCTGGTGTTTTTTATTTTTTATTTTTTTGAGACAGAGTCTCGCTCTGTCACCCAGGCTGGAGTACAGTGGCGCAATCTCGGCTCACTGCAACCTCTGCCTCCTGGGTTCAAGCAATTCTCCTGCCTCAGCTTCTCAAGTAGCTGGGACTACAGGTGCATGCTACCATGCCCAGCTCATTTTTTTGTAGTTTTAGTAGAGACGGGGTTTCACCATGTTGACCAGGATGGTCTCAATCTCTTGACCTCGTGATCTGCCCGCCTTGACCTCCAAAGTGCTGGGATTATAGGTGTGAGCCACCGTGCCCAGCCCCTTCTACCTTCTTATACAATCTTTGACCTGACCCCCAATGTCAGCCCCTACCTGCCCTCTACCCCAGAGCTGACCCCAGTTGCTTCTAGAATGTACTGCTGCTCCAATCTCTGACTCGACCCAACCTATCTTGCATGACCCTGGACCCTCAGCCACGTCCTAGTCTGAAAGTCCTCCCACATGTCACGCTCACCCCAGACCCACCCCAGCCGTCGGCCCCACCCTCAGCTTTTCCTGACTTTTGCCTACGCTCAGGCTGAACCTTGGCACCTGGAAATATCCCCAGGGCCAGACGCCAAGCTCCAGATCCAGACCCAACAGTCAGCCCAGGCCCCCATGTTCCCCAGTCCATAGGCAGACTCAGGCTCCAGGCACGTGCACTCGCTCCACCCATCACGTGTGACAGCCTGTGTGTGGCGCCAGCACAGGGAGAGCTGGGCCACAGCGCTGATGTCACCTGTGTCACTAGGGTGGTATAAAGATGCCAAGCCGTGGTGCACTGTCGGCACTCCACCTCCAAGAGCTGCTGTTACTGTTATTCATCCTATTTTTTGAGACAAGCTAATCATTTTTTGTAGAGATGGAGTCTCGCCATGTTGTCCAGGCTGGTCTCAAACTCATGATTTGCTTTGGCGCCCAGGCTGAGTGCAGGGGTGCGATGACGGCTCACTGCAGCCTCAACCTCCCAGGCTCAAGCGATCCTTCCAATTCAGCCTCCTGAGTAGCTGGGGCCACAGGTGCTCCCTCCCACGCCTGGCTAATTTTTAATTTTTTTGTAGAGACAGCATCTCACTATGCTGTCCAGGCTGGTCTCAAACTCCTGGGCTCAAGCCATCCTCCTGCCCTGGCCTCCCAAAGCGCTGTGATTATAGTCATGAGCCACCATGCTGGTGGCTGGTTATTAATCCTTTAATTCTCACCTCCAGCCAGAATCAGTCACCGTTAAGCCTCCTCACCTCAAACCCCAGTCCCAGGCCTCCAGCCCAGAACCACGCCATCTTCCCCGAGTCCTTGTTTCCCAGGCCCCCATTGATTTAGCCCATCTTTGTGTTTCAGCCCCACCCTTGCAGAGGACACGCCTCCTCCACTGCCCCCCAAGGTAAGGCCCTGGGCCAGAGCTGGGAGGATGGGGCCTCAGGGCTGCTGGGGGCCAGCAGGCCAGGTCCTTAGATGCTGGGCTACTGGGCTCTCCAGGGCAGGGAATCGGGGAGACCAGGATGATGGCTGCATTGGCATCTGGAAGTGGCATCCCTCAATCTCAGGGTGGGATTCAAAATATTTAGCCTCTTGGACACTGGTCAGTAGCTGGTCCCAGGAAGCCCCTGCTATATCCAGCATTCACCCATTAGTTTCTAGAGTGTGTTGATGTCTGGGCTGGGGGTGACAGCGGAAGGCTGGTGGGGGCGCAGGATGTTGCGGGGAGGGTCAGAGCCATGGCTTTTAGTTCTAGTGGAGGCAGGGACTGGAGTTGCAAAAGGGTGACCTCTCTGAGATCATCTGATGTATTTCCCCATACTATGTTCCTGTCTCCAAAGCCCAAGTTCCGTTCTCCATCAGACGAGGGTCCTGGGGGTATAGGGGATGATGGGCAGCTGAGCCCGGGGGTGCTTGTCCGGTGTGCCAGTGGGCCCCCACCACACAGCCCCCGTCCTGGGCCTTCCCCATCCACCAGCAGCCTCCATCTCACCGCCCATTCAGGTAATGGGACAGGCTGGGGTGGAGGGTGGGAAGGGGTGGGGGGTGTTGGGGGCTGATTTTCGCCTAACCCTTCTCAGAACCCTCACTCTGGAACCCACCCTCCCGGGAGCTCGATAAGCCCCCACTCCTGCCCCCCAAGAAGGAAAAGATGAAGAGAAAGGTGAGGTTCAACTCTGCTGAGGACTCGAACCTCTGAACAGGGCTGCCTGGTGGGGTGAGGAGGGGGCAGCAGGACTGACAGTGACAGGTGACATTTGTTGAGCACTTCTCTGTGCCCGACACTGACCTGCACCTGGCTTTTTAAAATTTTTTTATTTTTTAAAGGGTAATTGAGGCTGAGTGCGGTGGCTCATGCCTGTAATCCCAGCACTTTGGGAGGCTTCGGTGGGTGGATCAAGAGGTCAGGAGTTCGAGACCGGCTTGGTCAGCATGGTGAAACCCCGTCTCTACTAAAAATACAAAAAATTAGCCGGGCATCGTGGCACATGCCTGTAGTCCCAGCTACTCAGGAGGCTCAGGCAGGAGAATTGCTTGAACTCGGCAGGCAGAGGTTGCAGTGAGCCGTGATCACGCCACTGTACTCCAACCTGGGTCAGGTGTGGTGGCATGCACCTGTAATCCCAGCTACTTGGGAAGCTGAGAAGAACTGCTTGAGCCCAGAAGGCGGAGTTTGCATGCAGTGAACCAAGATTGCTCCACTGCACTCCAGCCTGGTGACAGAGTGACTCCATCTTCAAAAACAAAACTGATGGCTGGGCATGGTGGGCTCACACTTGTAATCCTAGCACATTGGGAGGCCGAGGCAGTTGGATCACATGAGGCCAGAAGTTCAAGACCAGCCTGGACAACATGGCAAAACCCCATCTCTACTAAAAATATAAAAATTTGCTGGCTATGGTGGCTCGTACCTGTGGTCCCAGCTACTCAGAAGGCTTAGATACAAGAATAGCTTGAGCCGGGGTGGGGGAGGGTGCTCATGCCTGTAATCCTAGCACTTTGGGAGGCCGAGGTGGGTGGATCACCTGAGGTCAGGAGTTCAAGACCAGCCTGGCCATCATGATGAAACCCCATCTTTA